CAATATCATCTGGTTTAAGTGAAATAATACCCTGCAAATTGAACTTTCAAACCACCAACACTATTTTAGTTTAAACATAAAATCGTTTTTTTTTTAAACCACATAAACATTCATATTTACTACTTTTAATTGTGTTTTGCATAACCTAATAAATTTTGTAATTATTTCCTCCTGGCACTGAATACTGCTTTAGTTTACACCACAGGACCAGCAAATCTGAACATATGCTGACTCAGTTGTAATCAATCAATCAGCTGTTCACTGCACCCACTCATTAGCTCCCAATTACCTGTTTGTCATCCAGTTGCACTGTGTGAAAGACTTAATTGACATAATTGCAGGGCACTTGGAGGCTTCAACTAAAATGCTGCACATAAAGCAGAGTTCAACTCCCATAAGTAAAACTCTGCATGCACTCGGAGCATTTGTATTTTTATATAAAAGGTGGAACATCATACGTTCCCAAACACTTTGCAAGAGATCAAAAGATGTTAAGCATGGAGAGGACGTGTGTTACTGAAAGCAGAGGAAGTCCAAAATCCACAGCACTGGATGAGCAGTTTGCTTACAATATGGTAATGAGTGCAAGGTCCAAAAAGAAAGACATGCGATTATATAATGTCTTTCATGACCACTGGACATCCTGAAACCTTTTGGAGCAATGAAGTATCTTTGAACTTCTGTTGTAATAAAGAGAATGCAGCAGCCTGTTTGAGAACAGCAAGCTCCCCACAAACAGTAATGTAATAAAAATCAAATCAGTTGTTTCTGTGATGTTGACTGAGGAATATTGGCTGGGACACTACAACATAGTGAAACAGTGAAATGGGTAGGATATTTTATGTCCACCTGAAAAGGGCTTTTGGTTTCATGTCTCATCTAAAAAACAGGTCTCTTACGAGATTAGTTCATCTGTATGGTTGATGAAACTCTGCCAAGCTGAAATTTGAAGATTGTTTTGTTTTGTGGATGAATTAAAAGAACACCTACTAGCAATCCTATTAAAGTACTTCACTTTAATCCACAATCCTCTGCTTTTCCTCCTTTATTAGACCTAAACTTCTCTCAATATTCCAATCAGTTTTCTGGGTGGATTTGAAACAGCTGGTAAAGGGAAACCAATTCTGGAGTTATTTTGTTGATTCCCAAATGGTGAAAAGGCCACTTGGCATCTTCATTTTCATGGTTATGTGGCCTACCCATCCCGTATCACTTCTCATGGTAATCATCTTCTCATGAAACGTTTTATTGAAGTAGAGCTGCAAAACATTACCCTTGCTTTAACTCTGGGCTGCTGCTTAAAATTAACTCCTGTACGAATGGCTCAGTGGCTCCTCAGAAGCTGTATACGGAGTTGAGTCACATCTTGAAATCATTTTTGGGTTTGCTTATTATGTTTGGTTTGGTTTTGCCTCTTTCTGCCATTTCATTCTGTGGAGCAGGAGGGACACAGCAAGTCAGGCAGCATCAGAGGAACAGGAAAGTCGACGTTTCAGGTCAGGACCCTTCATCAGAACAGACCCTTCTGAAGGGTCTGAAGGCTCCTGACCCGAAACGTTGACTTTACCTGTTCCTCTGATGCTGCCTGAATTGATGTGTCCTTCCAACTCCACACTGTGTTGACTCTGACTCCAGCATCTGCAGTTCTTGCTATCCGTCCCATTTTATTCTTGCTCATAGATGGAGCATTGCCCCAGTACTCTTCCTCCTTCATGTGACTCTGGTCTCACATGAGAAGTGGGCAACCAACCCTACCTTGTTAGCATTGCCTATATCCCAAAACAAATACTTTTTTTTAAAAATCATGTACAACTGATGTTTATTGAGAAGCACTTCATCAGGAAAATTAATCTTTGCTAATCAAGGAGTTGGCGCCAACATTTCGCTTTCAGACTGTTGGGTGAAAAGCAGCCATCTGTCTGGATGATTGACTTGCAGATCAAGGCTGCCCTCTGCAGCAATAATCCTCCATATCAGTCCAGACTTGTATAGTACATATGGACATTGAACAATTAGGATTTTCACTGAATATAGAGATTTTGAAGACATACTTCAGATGCCCTAATAGATCTGGAGGAGTACTCTAGTAGGCTGTAGACTACCTTTCATAGTTGTGGATTACTGCATGCCCTTAATTTTTCCTTTTCCAAATGTGGGCTGATTTAATGTACTTGGAAAGAAAAATGACCAGAGTCAGTGAATTCCTGAATTGAAGAAGACAGTTAACAAGAAAACCATTTCTAACTGCTAGACGACTGTAGACATAGGTCACATGGACACCTTCAGCCAAATAATTCTTAGGTTAGCTGCAAAACCAGTCCTACTTTCATGAACACCACATCCAATCATTTAAATGTGGTTATTGAAGTCAGAGGTGGCATTACCGACAGACAGACTAATAGACTATTTTTTCTCCCTTGCCCACAAGAACAAGGCTGTCTTTGTCGTAGTCCCTGCAGTAACCTTCTGCTGTAATCCAGTCCATGGTATAAACTTCATAGTGTCCAAAGTTCCATACCGCTGTGTTTCCTTATCATCATCTTGTTCTCTAGCACTATCGCTACAAAATATAAAGTTTAGCTCCCATGTTATGTTAGCATCACATAATTTGCATCCTTGTTACCAATCTCAACTCCACAGTGACAACTGTGTTTTCTGATCTGTAAAGCAAGAATTTTCTCTCACTTAGCATCAGCAAGATTGAAACAATCATTTTATGTCTCTTTCTGAACTCTGCATATGCCCCATGATTTCCCTGACTGCTTGTTCATGCTGAACCTGACAGTACATTATCACACTGCTGTCTTCAGAGCTTCAAGGCCTTGTTCTAATATTCCCAGTCCAATTATTCTCAATTACAAAATTTTATCTATCACTGCCCTTTACATCACCCATACCTCCATCCTTTTGGTTTCTTTCAATCCAGGCCCCCTGTATTCCCTTCTATGCAAACACCAGCATCCTATCCTAAATCCACTTCCACTGTAGCCTTTGTCACCAATACATCAAATGTGAATTCCCACAACTTTACTTGCCAACATGCAACATTTGGACATCTTTTCTCTAGCATCCTTATGTAGTCCTTTTGGTCCATCGAGCTATCCACTTTAATGCCTTTTTCCCCACACTATTCCCGTATCCCTTTACATCAGTGGAATTTACAAATCTATCAATCTCCATTTTAATCATACTCAGTGAGTGAACTTCTATTGCTTTCCAGTGTGGAGAACTACAGAGGTAATCTGCCCTCTGAGTAAAGAAATTGTTCCTCATCTCAGTCCCAAGTGGCTTCTCCTTTGTTTTGAAATTGTGTCCCCTGGTTTCAGACTCTCAACTGGTGAATCATCTTTTCTGCATCTATCCTGTCAATCACTGTAAATACTTAATAGATTTCACCAAGATCACCTCCCATTCTTCTAAATTTAATAAGGTGCAGAAAATAAACAAGTGGGCTAATAGAATGGGATGCAGAGGTTATGCTGCAGTTATATAAAACCCAGGATTTACCCCACTCTGAGTACTGTAAACAGATCTGGGCACCACATCCTCAGAAGTATTGGTTTGGAGGAAGTATGACATAGGTTTTCAAGAATGATACCTGGACTTCAAGCGTTCAGTTATGACGAGAGACTATACAAATTAGGCCTGTTCTGTCCAGAGTTTAGAAGGGGTGATATGATCAAAGTCTTCAAGATAGTAAGAGGAAAAGACAGTATTAGGGTTAGTATTAGGTTAAAAATGTAAAGATAAACTATTTCCAGTGGTTGCAGATTCTAGAACTTGGGGGAATAGTCCAAAAATTAGGGTCAGACCTTTCAGGAGAGATGTTAGGAAGCATTTCTACACGCAAAAAGTGGTGGAGATTTGGAAAACTGTTCCACAAACAGTGGGTGCTGGATGAGTTATTAATTTTAAATCTGGCATAGATACATTTTTGTTAAGTAAAGAAATTAAGGGATATGGGCCAAAGGCAGGTATATGGAGTTAGGCCACAGATCAGCCATGGTCTCATTAAATTGTGGAACAGGCTCGAGGGGCTGAATGGCCTACTTCTCTTCCTATGTTCCTAAGTCTAGGAAATATACCTTGTAACCTTTTACTATTAAAAAAAATGTTCTGCATGTCTGTTCTTTCTACAAAGTGGATAACCTCACATTATTCCACGTTATATTCCATCCGCCATGTTCTTGCCCACTCACTAAGTTGGCCAAATCCTGTTGGAACTGCTCTACATCATGCATGTTACCACCTTGCTTTATGTTGTCCACAAACTTGGAAATATTACATTTGGTTCCTACGTCCAAACAATTGGTATATATTGTGAACAACTAGGCCTCAGAACTAGAACTGGTCCTTGTGGTACCCCATTAGTCACCACCTGCCAACAGAAGAATGTGTTTCTCACTTCTGTCTATTTTCTGTCTATCAGCTGGTCCTCGAATCTATGCCAATATATTTCCTTTTATCCTATTTTCTTTCGTTTTGCTAACCGGCCCCCTTGCAAGGAACTTTATCAAAAGCCTTCTGAAAGTCTAAGTATACCACGTTCACTGATTCCCCATTACCAATTCAGTTAAGTATATACTCAACAAACTCTCATTAGGTCAATCAAATACAGTTTCACATTCATATCTCCAAGCTGCTTATGTCCATTCAGACATTTATTGTATTCAACAGTCCATTTTTCACATCTTTTCTAATAGATTTTAGCCCCTACTACTGATCTAACAAGCCTGTGGTTCCTGTTTTCTCTGTCCCTCCCTTCTTAAATAGAGGGATAATATTTGCTATTTTATAATCTGCAGGAACCAGTGTATCCATTATCTGCATTGTTACCTCTTTCAACATTCTGGTGTGCAGAATATCCTCTGCTTGTGCTGCTAAACATCTATTTTCACTATTGTGAAGTACCAGGACCATTTTATTATGGGGTAAAGGAAATATATGTAAGTTTAGTTTGTTTCAATCAGTTCACTTCATATGTATGTTGTCTTTTACAGGTGCCTTAAAACGCTGCTTCTTGAGGGGAACCCTATCCGAAAGCTGCCAGTGGAACTTGGTTAGTGTGAAATTCAAGTTCTATTCATTTTTTTTTATATATCAGTTCATGTGACAAAAGCAAAACTTGACATTGCAGAGTCAAAAATAGTTAGCCAAAATGGTCTGTTAGTAAGAGCCTGCATAATAACTCTGGGACAAGTTTCCATTTATTGTAGTTGACTGATTTCTTTTTCACTGCTGTATATGAAATTAACATCTCTTGTCATTCCTTTCTCTGCACTACCACTCCTCAGTTTAGAGTCCATTTATTTGTAATACTGCGTCATGACCCCTTCTATCACAATGACCCAAATCTTTTGTTTCAATCAGTAACAGTAGGCTGCTATGAGGAAGCTAACTAACTGACCCTGTGGTGACAAAAAATTGTTACCCTCATTCTGTAGGAGATTATTTTGGTCACTTATATGTGCTGTGTCTATACCCTCTGCATTAATGTATTACAAACACAAACCTTGTTTTGTTTATCAGAGGTAAACCATATCTGTGAAGAAACACTCCAGCCCTCAATAAATAAGTGAGTGTTGACACAACATGAATCTTTAGTTCCTATCTGTGCACTCTGACTCAATATTTTTTTGACAAACTTACTTCCTGTAGTTTAGAACAGAAATGGCCTTGAACTTATGTTTTTTAATACAGATTTTTCCAGCATGTCTCACTAAAAGGTAATATATTGCCATGTCTCACACATGGAAATTGGCTTAGTCAATTGCGGTCTGTCACTGGGCAAAAATGCCAAAATAAAACAGCCCAAGCACTTGCTGGTAATAGTTGGGATTGAGCCATTTAACCAGCAAGTGACTGCTTCAGCCTGACCAGAAGTGGATAAGTCTGAAAATTGTTTTTCTTGAAATGGAAAAGAACTTTAATATTGCTCCTGACTCTATGAAGAATATCTAACAAATCGCATATCTCTCCCCTTGGAATTGACTGCTTTGTCACACATACCTCATCCTACCTATACCACCTGGACCCCACACTGGACTTGTCCAATTAGCAAACTGTTTAAAGTGAGGTCCAGCAGTTGGCTTATCGTCTAGCCAAGAGTGTCAAAAATAATATTTAGATTTTCTGATATCTAAAAATAATAAATAATTTTTAACATCTAATGCTGGCCAAAACCAAAAATTAACCTATCGTATATCTCCTGTAAGAACCCTTTTCGTGAAATGATTTGGGAAAGCTCAGTTTAAGGATAAAGGGTACAGAAATTCAAGAATACTAGAAACTAGGATAAGAAGCTGATCATACAGGTGGGCGTTGTAAATGTTCCTCCTCTGAGTTTGTGGATGCAGTCTATGAAGAGAGAATGTTACTTTGTATGTGGCATATGCAGGACCAGGCCTGAGAACAGCTTGCATTGTCAATGTTTACTGTATTGACTTCCCAGTACTGAAATTCCTTGCTTTGATCCCTAAATTCTGCTCCATGCCTGCAAAAAAGAACTGAAATGCAACTAAAATGACAAGTTATTTATTTTAAGAAGTGTTGATGTTGTACTCAAGAGCAGGATAGTCATGAATGCAGTTGTAAACTCGCCATTCTTTGGAAAATAGGATGATTAGTTTATTGAGCTGATTGATTTTCTAACAGGTAATCTGACTTCATTGAAGGCCCTCAACCTCAGAAAATGTCCAATAGAGTTTCCTCCTGAAGTTGTAATGCATCAAGGATTAATTGCGATTCTGGCTTTCCTCAGACAGCCATTAGAAAGAGGAGCTGAACATACTGCTTTATCTGCTCACAATACAGGTACAGCCAGAAATCACACCATCAACGCTGATGAAAGATTATTACATATGCTGTATATATACAGAGATATCAGCTGAATAGTTTAACTGTTATTTTTAGAATGCTTTCAGTTGCATTCTTTACGTTCATGTTTTTAAACAGATTGCTATAATTCAGGGTACTCCTCATCAATTTGTGCTTCTGTAAGACATAATTTATGGTAGGTAAGTCTGCACTTCTTATAAACTCCAAGTTGATTTTGCATTAAAATATCTGTATTAGTGTATCTCAACATAAACAGAGAGATATATGTTAGAGTGTCCAACAGAAATAGTATAAAAGTGATTGCATTGCACTTCTCTCCAAATTTACAGTTACATCAGTTGTTTTAGCTCAAGCCAAAACCGACACATTCTGTGAACTAAAATTGTCTGGACATTAAATTCAGATTATGATTCAGATCAATTATTTAATATACTCTGGCATGTTAAATTATGTTTAAATTCTGCATAAATGAACAATTTGATATACTCAAGGTCATTTTTCCAGAATCTTAAACTGGGATTGAATAAGGTACATTGTCTATTCAGCAGCATAGAATTCTGACTTGCAACTGCAGTGTGGAAATAACCAATTGAATTGAGTAGTAAAGCAATTTGTAGGACTTGACCTATTTATTCTCAGTTTACACAATGTTTGGAGGGAGAATAGTCAGAGGCTGAAAATTCTGTATCAGGAAAGTTACCTCGTGTCTCTCCAAAGTCTGTCCACCATGACAAGGCACAAATCAGGAATGTGATGGAATGCTCTTGGATGAGTGCAACCCCAAAAGTATTAAAGCAGTCCATTTGATTAGCACCACACTTAATAATTTCAACATTCACAGCAGCAGCAGTAGTTCCATCTACACGATGTGCTGCAACAACTCACTGAGGCACCTTAGACAACAACTTACAAACCCACATTCTCTTCAGTCTAGAATGACAAGGTAGCAAATACATGGGAAGACCATTCCAAGCCACACACCATTCTGACCTGGAACTTTGCCACCGTTCCTTTGTAGTCACAGTGTCAAAATCCTAGATCTCCCTCCTTAACAGAAATGCGGGTTTACCTTCATCATATGAATGTAGCTCACCACCATCTTCTCTAGGGCAGTTCAGGATGGGTATTACTTCCTGACCCAGCCAGCAACACCCACATCCTGGGTGATTTTTGTTTAAAAGTTTATTATCTGTCTGATCCTTTGCAATCACTATTTATCCTCTGCACCAGACAGGTGAGTAGCGGCCACAGTAGTATAATATTGATTATTTTTGATCCATGTACTCTTTGTGCTATGGGCTAGACCATACTCAACGTACTTGTACAAGAAATTGTAGGACCAATGAGTGCAGAGTGATACTGTAAGGACAGTGACAATGCTCTGACATTAAGAGCTGTATTTTGTCCTGGTTTCTTTTAAGAGAGAGATTGAATGAGAGGTGATGAGCTGTCTGTGGTCATGGAAACAGCTTGTGGGGCCTTGTGTTTTTTTTAAAGTAGGGTCAAAAGGAGCAGCCTGAGTGGGTATGATCCAGCTGCCACAGACCAGAATTTCTAGGCTTTTTTTTCAGTTTTTTTATGTTTAGCTTTAAGCAGTTGTTGATGGAGGCTCAACAGGATTGGAAGCTGCTGTAAATGTATCTCTGAGTTTTCTCTTGATGTTTTTCCTTCTGGCTTGATGGAGTTACCTATGAGACAAATATATCTTCTGAATTTTGCCAAGGATGTGTGTATATGAGTTGTCACTACATTGGAACAGTTATTTAGTAATAGTTACTGTATCTATTATTCTGTCATGTTTTCCAATAGAGTTACATTATTCTAAGCTCTTCTTTCTTTTGTTGTATTTTAACTACAGTGTTTGAGTAAACTGTGTTTCGCTTAATGTCGAGTAATTTCACCAGTCAAATTGTACCTGGAACACAAAACTTTACATTTGCCTTTAAAATAAGAAAAGATTAGGGTGCAGGCTAAATTCTTCATATATTTTGAGGGGACCTGGTCTAGTCTTGTCCATAGCAGGAAATGTTTTAGGATCTTGGAAAATATATTCAGGTGACACATAAGGTTGTAGTTTCAAGGATGGAGGGGTTAGGTGCTGGCTTCTTTTAGGGAATTAAAACAAGTCTTGTAAACATTATGATCAATGCCTCAAGCTACGTAAATCGAAGGCAGAGAGAATAAAGAAGAGCTCAAGACATTTAGAACAATATAAAAGAAGAGCTGAAAGCTTAAAGAAATAGAAAATGTCAGTTCAGGCTCCTTTACGTACATATGAAATTTATGTTAGCAAGAAGAGGAAAATGAATGCTTGTGTGTTGGCTTGAATGACTGCCACAATAGCAGCATGAAAAAACTGAGATAACAAAGTGTGGAGCTAGAGGAACACAGCAGGCCAGGCAGCATCAGAGGAGCAGGAAAGTTGACGTTTCAGATTGGGACCCTTCTTCAGAACTGGGGACGGAGCTCAGAAATAAATAGAGAGAAGGGGTGGGACTGGGGAAGGTGAGTGCAGGTAGGGAATGGTGGGGATTGGTCAGTGAAGTGGAAAGGACACATAGGTGGGAAGGAAGATGGACAGGTTAAGTCAGGTCAAGAAGGCGGGGATGAGAGGGAGGGTTGGATATGGGATGAGGCCCGGGATAGGGAGGTTTTAAAACTGGTGAAATCCATGTTTAGGCCATTGGGCTGTAGGTTCCTGAGGCAGAATATGACATGCTGCTCCTCCAGTTTGCGGATGGCGTCATTGTGACAATAGAGGAGGCCCAGGATGGACATGTCACCCAGGGAGTGGGAGGGGGAGTTAAAATGGTTCGCGACCGGAAGGTGTTGTCATTTGTCACGTACAGAGCGCAGATGCTCTACAAAACAGTCTCTGAGTCTATACTTCGTCTCACCGATGTAGAGGAGGCCATATCAGGAGCAGTGGACATGGTAGACCAAGTTGATGGATGTAAAAGTGAACCCCTGTCTAGTGTGGAAGGTTTGTTTTGTTCCTTGGATGGAGGTGAGGGGGGAGGTGTAGGGGCAGGTGTAGCACTTCCTGTGGTTGCAGGGAAAGGTGCCAGGGGTGGTGGGGATAGTGGGAAGTATGGTGCGGACACAGAGTCGCGGAGAGCGCGGTCCCTACAAAAGGCAGATAGGGGTGGGGAGGGAAATGTCTCTTTGGTTGTGGGATCAGATTGTAGGTGGCAGAAGTGCCGGAGAATGATGCTTTGGATGCAGAAGTTAGTGGGGTGGGGAGGACAAGGGGGATTCTGTCTTTATTTTTATTGGGGGGAGGGGATGTGAGGGCAAAAGTGCGGGAAACATAAGAAATGCGGTTGAGGGTATTTTTGATGACCAGAGTGGGTAAGTTGCTGTCCTTGAAATAGGAAGACCTCTGGGATGTTTGGGAGTGGAATGCCCCATCTTGGGAGCAGATGCAGTGGAGGTGGAGGAATTGGGAGTAGGAGATCGTATTCTTGCAGGAAGATGGGTGAGAGGAGGTGTAATCTAGTTAGCTGTGGGAGTTGATGGGCTTGAACTAGATGTCGGTTTCGAGGTGGTCACCAGAGATGGACACAGTGATGTCCAGGACGGAGAGGGAGGTATTGGAGATGGTCCAGGTGAACTTAAGGTTGGGATGGAAAGTGTTAGTAAAGTTGATGAACCGTTCAAGCTCCTCATGGGAGCACGAGGCAGTGCCGATACAGTCATCCATGTAGCAGAGGAAGAGGTGGGGGATAGGGCCAGTGTAACTGCAGAAGAAGGACTGTTCCATGTATCCTACGAAGAGGCAGGCATAACTTGGGCCCATGCGGGTTCCCATGGCCACCCCCTTAGTCTATAGGAAGTGGGTGGAGTTGAAGGAGAAGTTGTTAAGGGTAAGGACAAGATCAGTTAAGCGGATGAGGGTGTCGGTGGAGGGGGACTGGTTGGGTCTGCAGGAGACGAAGAAGCGGAGGGCTTTTAGGCCATCTGTATGGGGAATGCAAGTGTACAGAGATTGGATGTCTCTGAGTGAAAAAACTGAGGTTCCTATAAGAACTAACAGAGAAGGTGTTAAATGGGCAGATTGCAAGATAGAGAAAGTGTGTTAATAGGTTGTAACCAAAGTGTTCAAACAGAAACAAAGAGACATAGGCTTCCTTTGTGCAGAGAATTTATTGATTATATCAGTACAACAGATTTTTTCCCCAGTGCTAGCTGACCACACCCCCCTTTTATATTCTGATAGTTAAATTAATAATCATCACCAGTTTCCTTTCTAGTCTTAATTATTTGTTATATAAATACATAAAACAAAATCTCTTCACACAGTGGGATTATTTCAGTGGTCATCACTCCATTTTACAATATGCTGCCACGTTGGGCACTTGATAATTTTACATCTGATCATCTCTTTGTTGCAACAATGCTTCACACTCATTTCCTATGCACTGGGCTGTTGTAGCCAGAAGAACTGGGCTTAATCATATGTATGTAAAGGAGCCTGAACTGACATTTTCCATTTCTTTAAGCCTTCAGCTCTTCTTTTATATTGTTCTAAATGTCTTGAACTTTTCTTTATTCACTCTGCCTTTGATTCTATTTTAAATTCTGTTTGAAAAGTTCTCACTGTGCTGGACAGAATTTGACAAATATTGAAGGACGATTTCCTCTTTAAATCATTAAACACTTCATCCTTTGGGTTTTGGAAGCTGACATTTATAGAACGTAGAGATAACAAGGAGTAGAGCTGGATGAACACAGCAGGCCAAGCAGCATCAGAGGAGCAGGAAAGCTGACGTTTCGGGCCTAGACCCTTCTTCAGACATTCATAGAACGCAGTTGCTTTATCCTCAAAGGAGAAAACAGTACAGTATCTGCTGTACTCCAGGTGAAAAACTCACTGTGTTAAAGTTAGGAGCAGGACAAAGTAAAAAATAATATTAGTTCAAATGTCACCCAAGGCTGAAGATTTAAACATTTTTTTAATTAACTCGTGGGATGTG